TGCTTTTAAAATGCTTTTAAAAAATTAATATATATATATATTTTTATTTTTTTATTTTTTATTTTTTTTAATTATTTTTATTTATTTATTTTTGTAAAGCATTTTAATATAGGCATAAGCATTCCAATACACCAATTAAATTTGCACTCCAAAACATTTCCACTTTCTCACCTCCACCTTCTCTGCACATACTGGATATGCAGGATCCACTGGCACTTGACACTTCTCGTTGGACCCTGTGGGGTAACATATTAACCGTCAAACTTTTTTTTCCTTTTTATGGCTCTTTTGAATGCACCATTATTCTTTAATTCCTGCATCAGTAACAAAACGTATACTGTTGAGTCACCTCAACTCGGCTAATGAAGAACAGCGGACAATAACTTTGATATACAACCTCTTGACTGAAATGTGCACAGTGAGTAGCAGCCATCAGCACGATGTATAGTGCTGCCATGCCTGTATGAGGTATTAGACTAGCGCTCTCAGAGACCCTTTCCCGTAAACCCCCCACCATCTCTAGCCCATGTCAATCAACTGGAATGAATGCACTCACGCACACCTGACACACCTGCCTCCTACCAAACATTCCCATTTACCATGCTGGCCTTGCCAAAGTACACAGTCCTTAACTGTGTAAAACAACCTAGTAAAAAGGGAAAGAGAGAAGAAAACTTGTAGTCTGAGCTGAAGCATGAGCACCTAAAAACAGTGTTATGCTATACGAGCACAGCAGAAAGAAGAAAAAAAACCTTCTGCAAAAACAGAAGTATGGGCAGACAAGTTGGTGAAAGGACTCCTGGGTAATTCAGACATATTTTATGAGTGTGAGGTAATGTAGGAGGGAGAGGGTGAGGGGCAAATAGGCTGGTATTGGTGGGAAGTGTGTGCCTCTGAATATGCGGGTGGCACATGTGGACATGCATGTCCACAGAAGTGTGTCTACAAGCATATCCATGTGATGGTGTCTGTGTGGCCTAAACTATATGAATTCCACTTTTTGAATCATACTTACCCATCCCCAGCACTCACATACCCATACAACCCTTCGCGTGCTAACCGGCGTGCGTAACCCGACTCTCACCTGACACCTCACAGGAGGGTCGTAACGTAAACTTTTTTCCCTCCCCATGCCCAGTGGATTGGTGCTGGCTCTGTGGGACTTGTTAAACTTCTATTCAAGGACTTCATCCCCCATAACCACCTGCACACACACTGACCTGTAGCCCCGCCATTCACACCTTCTATTATCACAGCTTGTTAATTTCACTGTGTGGTTAACCTTTTCTAAGGCTGTGAACCATACATTTGGCTCAGAGGATCACTGTACCGATACAGGCGCCCACAGCGAGGTAAGCAACCAGCCAATTATTGGGATTTTTTTTTTTTTATTTAGTATAGCCAAAGCACAGTTTAATTTAAAAAAGTATAATTCTTATTGGATCTTGAACAATGGAGTGCTTCTAATGAAGGGAACTCTAAAATTAAGTTAAACTAGGAAAGATTTATATACCCGACCTCTCCGTGAGACCCAGTCAGCCAAATTTAATCTCCTCAAATTTGGTTTTGGAAAACTTGAACTAACTAATAATTTGATTATATGTAAATTTTCCATGTGTGTTTCACAGGTAAATTGTTAAATTTAATGGAATCTGATCAAATTAAATATACTTGATTGTTATACTGAAAATATTACACTGAATATATTTTTAATAATTAATTATTTGAAAAAATACACCTTTGATTTTACATATTTCAGTTGCAAATAATTTTTTTTAGAGGATATAAAGTTGTATACTGACAATTTACAAATTCTGAATGGAAAAAATGTTAATATAAAAAATGGTAATTCACTCTTTGCTAATTTAAAATTGAAGTTAAGTAACTATAACTTTGGGTTGTGCAAAAGTTTCGGCATCTCATTAAGTCATCTGTTTTGTATCAAGCTAAAAGTCTGTCTTTATTCTGTCTGCAATGTCCTGCGGATAACTATAACTCCTGAAATAGTTTTAGGTGGTCTTGTATATGTTTAAAATTCCCCTGCAGATTTTCAATAATGTTGAAGTCAGAGAACAGTGGGAGTCATTCCAAAAGCTTCAGCTCACACTCCTTGGAGATTTGCAAGGTGTTATTTTATCAAATTCCTGTGGCTTTTTTGGCCAAATGGAACAATTTAGCATTTATTTGTCCCTCAAAGAAGTCTTTTATATCCAGACATTGCTTTACGTTGTTCACATGAGGACTTTTATGATGAGGCTACATGTAGAAGCTGTTAGTGCAGCAGATAAGAGAAGTTCTTTCAAAAGAGGATACACGAGCCACCGTCAGTCACTGATTTGAAAAAACCCAGTAGTAACTTGAATTTTTTTTGAATTCTAAAATTGTTCGATTTGGCTATTGTAAGTGTTTTTCCTTTCCCTGTTTAGTGCATAGTCAATGGACAGTAACACTTTATAATACAGCCCATAACTAAGGGCACAATTTTCCTGTAATTAAATAGGATTTCAATGTGTTTAATTGAAATTACAGTGTAAATATATTTATCTACAAATAATCAAAGGTAGGCAAAGTTAAGCCACTCTATATTTACCGAATACTTATGTTGAAAGAAGGAGAAATATTGTTTATTTTTCCATTATGTTACCAATGAATAACGTAATACTTAAGGTTACTGACAGTATCATTATTTCTTTGTTTCCTGTAAAAACCTGACTTTTTACCTCCTTCTTCTAGTGAAACTGCCTTTAAGTAGTTTTAGACAGATATAATTGCAATTCCAAATAAAATACATTATAAAGCCATTTAATTACAGCGGAATTACCCCCTTAGTTGTGGGCTTAGTTGATTCAAAAACACTGGCAACTGCCAGCACAACCCCTCAGCCTCCTAGTAGACACACCTGTGCTGTGAATATTTGAATGAAATTTAAAATATTCACAAGATTTTCAGAAAACTTCTTCTGACCTTGAGGTCAAGGTCACTGAGATTCTAACTCACCCAAGATTTTTAGTAGATACCCCTATGGTATAAATTTGAAACTCATACGTTGTCTCATTCTGAAGTTATGACATTCACAAAGTTAGGTGTCCACGCCAGCTAAACCTTCTCACAGCCCCTATGCATATGACTGAACATGACAGGGGTTTACTTTGTCTTTTGGTTCAGCAGATAGAGTTTCTTCCAGAAGTCTTTTTCCCAGATCTCATCTTGACTACCACAACTCCCTCCTTTTAATTCCTACAGAAACTGCAAGCTGGAATTGTTTTTTAGCTGCTTAGAGCGACTTTTGGTCAGAACAAGGTTTAGAGTCAGCAAATTTACTCATTGTAGCTTTGAAGGTGTAATGAGCAAAAAATCCTAATCACAATTTTTGATGTGTTTATATTTGAAGAAAGATTTTATTTTTAATGTCTGTTTGTTATTGTAGGGGTTGTATTCCCTTTATTTTTACTTCAATAATTACCACTAAAGCAAATATTATTTGCTCACGGGTGCCCAAACCATTGCGCACAGGTTTACAATTTCCACCCACAGGAAATAACAAATCCAAACTGAACAATGAAATACAAAACTGTCTCTTGAAGTCAAGAAAAAAGTGAGCACATATGGTAAGTCTATTCCTGTATCATCGTTTTAGTGTAAGAGAATCAAGGTTGATCATTGTAAACACAATGTAAACCATGTTAAGTCATTTAAGAAATATTGGAAGTGATAAAAGCCTGGACTTCACCTGTGTGTGATCTACGGTTAACAAGTGGTGTTGCAGCTTCAGCCTGATGGTGGTGTTGGTGGTGATGGCTGAGCTGATCAAGCCTCTGCGATACTCTTTTCATCTCTCTTTCTACTAAACGAGCCAAACCTTGCTGGTCCTGTCTGAAGCTGGGAAAAAGCAGAAACCCACGTGTGACCACAAAAATGCACTATAAGTCATATCTATATTTAAAAATACTGAACTCCACAAATCAATACCTTTGCAGCAGCAAAGTGAGATCATTTCTGGTCAGCTTGGAGCCATCTTTCTCTCTGCTCAGCCTCTGTACCTGAGTATTCAAAGCCTCCAAGCGAAGAGCCAGGCTACGAAAGCTAAGCCCACGCTGACCTGTAAATTAAAGTATGTCACATGTTGTAATCTAGAAGTGGTATTATTAAGTCTAAAATGAATATTATTAGTCTATTAAATAAAGGTATTCATAAAAACACACTCTTTCACTACAAAGAGCACTACTGTATTTTATTTGACTAAACTTATTTGCTCAAAACTTGTCCCATAAACCCCAAGAAATGGCAAACTCAGTGGGTTAAAATGTGACTTTAAGGTTTCCTGACTGAGCAACAATGAATGATGAACCAGAAGGGAGACCGGTCTATTTAGCGAATGCTTGCACATTCTTTATTGGAGGTCACGCTAGTTCAAAATACTGACCTCACGTGCTTTAGAAAAGGCTCTTTAGTGTTCCAGTTTGCGGGTCGGACTTGAAGCAGACTGGGTTTGAGTCCCGCCCAAGCCGTTTGCTGCATGTTTTCAAACTCTCTTACTCTGCTCTCCTGTCTTTCTTCACTATCGCTATCTAATAAATCTAATTAATCAAAAATTTAAATAAAAAACAATAATAATAATAATCAAGCAAAAAGAAAAGTCTCTGAGGTGATATACAGTCATGGTTAGGAGTTTACATCCCCACCTCATGGGCATGAATTTTGGGCTTTTAATGATTTCTTTGAACTTTTCTTTTTCGAGGGTAGATATGATTGAGTAGCACAAACCTTTACTGACTTAAATGTTGAATTTTCTTTGATCGTCAAAGGGTCAAAGTATACATACAGACCCACGTACAACCCCACTAATAGTTGGTTAAATTTCCCATAGCAAGTTACACCTCGAGCAGATATTTATGGCATAATTAGTTCACTCTGCTTGGCAGAATTGGTATAGTTGATTTGAATTGTTTGGATGGATCCAAATGGATCCAGCTTTTAAGTGTTGTCCACAAATTTTTAACAGGGGTGAATTCGGCGCTTTGGAAACACCATTCCAACAGCTTAATGTTATCCTTCTTTAGCCGTTCCAGAACCAATTTTGTTGTGTGTCTGGCATCATTGTCCTGTTGGAACACCCAAGGGCTTGTATGTGCTCCAATCTTCTAACTGTTGATGTGAGGTGTAGTTGAAGAATCTGGAAGTAATCCTCTTTTTTAACTGCTCCATCCACTTTGTGCAATGCACCAGTACCACTGGCAGCAAAACAGCCCCGAAGCACTGCGCTACCACCATCATGCTGGACAGTTGCTGTAGTAAATTTGAAAACCTCACCTCTATACCTTCAAACATACCTCATGTCATTGTGACCACTAGCTCAATTTTTTGACTTGTCTGACTATCAAACTTTTCTACAGGAGGCATTTGGCTTGTCCCCATCGGCAGACGCAAACTTCAGTCGAGGTCAATGGTGTTGATTTTTTGGTCTGCACCCTCTCAGTAAGATTCATTTTAGTGTTGACGGTGACGCTGGTGTTCCAGCAGTTTCCCATTCATGGCAGACCTGAACCTTCCTGGTTCATGGGGTTTTCCTAACTATCTTAACCGATTTCCTCTCATCTAAGGGTAACAGTTTGAGTCTTCCTCCAGACCTTTGCAAAGTGGTGACACATCTGAGTAACTTGTGCTTACGTACAACTGTCTGAATTATGACCTTGGAATCCGCAGTTGTTTAGAAATGGCTCCAACTTGTATAAATCTACAATTCTGTTTCTTAGCTCTTCACCAAGTACCTTGGACTGTCCCAAAGTTCTGAGTATTGGTCAGTCCAGTGAGGGCTGGTAAATAAATCCTTTTTATGCTTGCAAAGAAACACTACCAGTTGTAGTCCACCATGATCGCTAATGAGAAGTTAATAGGCCTTGGCCCAGTGAAGTTAAAAGACACTGTAAAACCGTAAACCTATTAAAAGATTTATGTAAATTTATAATAGTCCTTCTGACAGTTGTAGACTTCTCACCACAACTGTACACATACATGAAAAAAGAGGTCAGTTGCCCTACGTCACCATACATACATCTTGCTAGTTGACCAAAGGAGGTAGGTTACGGTGATATTTTTAACACTGACTATTATGACAAGTTAAACAAGAACCCTGTACTTCTTGAGTTTGGGCATGTGGACTGAGTATATAGTAACTGGGTGACCTAAAGCAGCATTTTTCATTGTCAGAACCTCAGTTAGACAGCCCTCTAACTCTAACTCTAAGCGACTGTATGTTGCCATAAATACTGATGATGATGCTTAAAGAGTTCAGAGTGAAACAGCGTAGTATATTGAGGATGTCTTGACCAAACAAAAATTCTATTCACAAAGAGCGTTTTAAAATAGTTTTGCTAGCATTGAGCATCAAATATTGAGTGCTACACTGGCTTTAACCTGTGATGCACAGAGAAAATCATAATGTCATTTCATCTTTGTTTGCTCAGCTGATTGTCAACATGTTATTACTGGCCTGCCAGGGCTCCTTTGGGTGCAGAGACAATGAGAGAGGACATGGGACCCTGTAATAACTTACAAGCTAACTGCATGACTGTAATAGTCCAAAGCTTGTAAAGATGTGACTGTGCAGCTAGTAAAATCATGTGTTTCTGTATGTTTACATGTCTGCAACATTTACTTTGAAGTCGCAGACGTAGAAAATAGAAAATATTTCAAATCAAATTCAAATCATTCCTCGTTTGTGTTTTCTTTTTCTTTTTTTCATATATTTGTCACAGTTACATGTTACAAATCCTTAAACAAATTCTTATAATAGACAAAGATAACCTGAACAAATACAAAATGCAGTTTCTAAATGATAATTTCATTTATTATGAGAAAAAAGTTATCCAAACCTACCTGCCGTATGTGAAAAAGTATTTGGCAGCTAAACCTAATAATTGGTTGTGTCAACCTTGGCAGCAAGAAGTACAATCAAGCCTTTGTGATAACAGACAAATACTCTTTTACTACACTGAAAAAGAATTTTGGCCCATTCTTTTGTGCAGAATTGTTTTAATTTAGTCACAGTGGAGGGTTTTTAGGCCTGTTGTCATCATACTAACGCATCTTACTTGGGTTGAAGTACAGAATTGACTGGGCCTCTCCATTAGCCAATCAGAGGTGCACTTGCATATGATCAATGTCCTGCTGCTTAACCCAAGTGCCACTGAGCTTAAAGGCAAAAACTGATCCCCAGACGTTGTCTTTCAGGATTTCCTGGTAGATAGCAGAATTGATGGTTCAATCAATTATGTGCATCAAAAATAAGCCTCTGCGAAATAAGCAGTTCAGAAGGTTGGATCTAAGAGTTCACACTTGGAAATTGGAGCAGATATGCCAGAGGGATCAAACACTGGGTCAGAGGCTCACTGGATTTTATTCCTTGTTGCCAAAAAACGAAACTAATGCTAGAAAACAAACGCGTTCATAAATACTTTGTGAACCAAACATCTATGCTTTTATAGGCCCCCTGTCAATCATGACCCCTTAGAATCATCACTTTTCTCCCTGCCTGCTGTTCTTTAGATGTTTTTCTGGGTCCTTTTGTGTCCTCCTGGATGAGTCGTCAGTGCACTGTTGAAGTCATTTTGGTAGGCTGGCCATTCCTGGAAAGATTTGCCGCTATTCCAAGTTTTCCCCATTTCTGGGTAACAGTTCTCGCTGTCGTTCACAGGAGTCACAAAACCTTAGAAAGCCTTTGTAAGCTCTTGCAGCCTATTGGATGTCAATGTCTTTGCCTCTCTGTTCGTTCTTTAAATTGTACCATGATGTGTTGATTTTCAAGCTCTTTTAGCCTGCTTCACTTTGTCAGACATGTTCTGTTTAAGTGATTTCTTGAATCAGCAGGTCTGGTAGTAATCAGGTCTCGGTGTGGAAAGTGAAACTGAACTCAGCTTTCCAAAACAATGTGGTTAATGACCATTATTTCATGATTTAATAGGAGGGGCAATTACTTTTTCACAAAGGGCAGGTAGGAAATGAATGAATGAAATCATCCTTCAAAAACTACATTTTGTATTTACTCGGGTCATCTTTGTCTAATATTAAATTTGTTTGAGGATCAGAAAACTGTAAGTGTGACAAATGTGCAAAAAATAAGAAATCCTGAATTTTCATAATACGATATCAGTGCAATCGGGCATCATTTTAAGATTTAATATATCAAATAACTTTGCAAAACTGCAAATTTTCCACAGAGATGAACGTTTGGTGATAAATGGGAGCTGGATTAATTGTGTGCGCTTACCAACAGCTATTTCCATGTGGTATTTTTTCCAGTACAACTACTGCTGGGTGGCTCTTTGTACACAACTTCTGGTGGGTCCCACAGAGCACAAAGCAATTGTGGCTGTGTGTGTCAGTGGCTTAAATGCAGGAGTGGGTTATACTGTCTGCTAAAAACAATTTTCCTAGAATTTGAGACGAAAAGCATCGGAATGTTTAGACAAGTATCATCTTTTGTGGTTGCATTTTGAAACCGATTCACTGGTAGGCACATTGTTCAAGTCTTTCACAAAAGAGCTGGCTCTTTCTTATGTTAAGTGTATATATTTGGTTACTAATCCTCACAAGACAGCTATTTTTATTCACTGTAGAAACATATTATGTATAAATGTATTCCTATGTGTGGCATTACCACACTTCATATAAGTCAAGTAAAGTGAATTAAGAAACCTTCCCAAACAACCTTGTCTACACCATCTTAAATGCCTTCCTTTAGAGAAACAGTTTAGCCAGACAAATGATTTTGGGATTGGCCACAAACCCACAACTGTCAGATGCCTGGGAGGGCCCACCGGGAACTGTGTACAAATCTTCATATAACACTGGCAAATCAGTCAGGTCAGATCTTAATCTCTGCACACAAAGAGCTTCTTTCATAATCACTGTTGCCCAAAACTATGGTAATGTGGGTGCGCGCTAATGTATTACCATTTTTGCATTTTCAGAAAAGTTTTAATAGGAAACTAAATCCACTTGTAAACTAAACTGTGTTCGTGTGTATGAGTTACCCAGATCCTCAGGTGAGCTCCCTGCAGGATCATCTCTGGTCATCTCCAGTGGCACCCACAAACTCTGTAACAGCAGGGTGACCACAGACAGGCACAGACACAGCACCAGGCAGCCACTAGAGGGCACAATACACAGAGAAATACTCTACAGCACAACCAGTAGTCACCAAGCCTTTTTTGGTGTAATGTATAGTGATGGGATTTCCGGCTCTTTTTAGAGATCCGGCTCTTTCGGTTCGGCTTACTAAAAAGAGCCGGCTCTTTCGGCTCCGAACCGGCTCTTTCGGCTCCGAACCGGCTCTTCAGGTTGTTTTGTTGCTTTAATTAATTTATTATTAACAATAATATAAAATTATGCACAAAAGGAATTACTGACGTAAAAAAAAAAAGTGGTTTTATTTATATATGTTTATATATCAACACTGCGCCCAGCATCCTGGAGCACTTCTGTTGTCTTTTGTACGTGTTTTGAGTTTTTACGTGCTTCGGAGTTTGTACGTGCTTCGAAGTTTGTACATGTTTTTACGTGTTTTGGAGTTTGTACGTGATTTGAAGTTTGTATGTGCTTTGTCTCTAGGGGCTGTAAATATACTTTTATTTATTCACTCCACATAAAATGTAATAAATAAATCATATAATACAAAAATCAACTATTCACATTTCAAATTTTAACTATTTAAATTTTCAGCTTTTTCCTTTTACAAATTTAAAGTGAAACAACACAAAACACTGCAA